GTTTAAACTGAACCATGATGAAACTGAAAATCATTTAACCTCAGACAAGAAAACAGATCAGTCTAAAAATGATCAAAGTCCAGTCGTAAACTGATTTTATATTTTTGTCACATAGCTGAAAACCTTTTCGGTCTCGGGCCGGAAAAACCCGACATTACGTGTGGCATAAAGTAAATAAAAAAATAAATAAAAAAGTCTGAAGACAGGGAGCAAAATCAGATGCAAATGGAGTCTCACTGTGTGGTAAGAATAATTATTTTTTCTGTTTGTAGCCTTCTGACTGATGCTGTGTGTGAAGTTGTGGCTGTAGTGCAGCAGCTGTGCTTTGGGTAGATTCTCACACCAGGTGAGCGCACTCTCACCAGCTGGAAAAGGTGTTCATATGTGTCAACCCCTTTGGACATTTACCGTCTAATGAGCCTCAAACATATATATATTTTTACTAAAAATCCGAAGGCTACCACTCATACCTGTGTGTGGGGGTGGGGTGGGGGTCTGTCCGTGGAGATGACAGCGCCTGCTGTAACGCAGGAGGAAAGGAGAGAGGAAAAAGTGGATAACGTGATTTTTTTTTACATCCGTTCAACGCTGTGTTCAACTAAATAGACAACTAACCAGCTTCAACATCACATTCAGGAGATGTCTGTAAATTTCAGGAAAATCTCAGGCTTTGGTTATCCTGTGTGAATGCACCACATAAAACAATGAYACTCCTTATTTAGACAGTTTTCTCACTCATTCTCCATTTAATGTATAATTTTCCTGCATCTAAAACTCATTTCTGATCCCACAGAGAGACAGTCTGAGGAGAAYCTCACACCTGGACACATTTATATCTRTTTTACAKRTTTAAATGGAGGCGTGTCAGGGGAGGAGTCTCAGCTCCACCTTCATTAGGATGTATAAAGGAAAGGTGAGCAGGAACCTGTGTACACACAGTTTGATACATCTGAATATTTTGGTGCGGTGCACTTTTATAAATTTGTCCGTACGTTAACTTTTAGAGTGAAAGCTGCGCACTCCTTTATGCATGAGGCTCCTGGTCCTGGAGGACCTGCAGCTTTTAGATGTTTCTCTGATTTAACCTCATTAAAACTCTGGGATAAAGTGATAAAACTTTTAATATAATCTGTTTTAATTGATCTGATTCAAAACAAAGTTTGTTTTTGTGCGTGTGCGGTCTCTGGGTCCAAACTTCTGTGGGAAACTGGGAAAAAAAAGTCTGTCCCAAACCAAACAAATAAGCCGACCAGGTCTAATCCTTCAGGATTTTAYCATCCAGGGAGAATTTTCTCTCATCTTTCTGGTATTTTTCCACGTCCATAATCATTAACTTCAGAGTCCTGAAGCTGAGAGACTCAGTTTGWGTCGCGTTGTGACGCTCAGTGAAGAGAAGAGAGACGCACCGTTCTGAAACAGGAAGTCTTATTAGATTTTTACTGGAATAACAGGATTACAGCTGGAGATTAAAGAACGAGCTTCAACTGCAGAGAAGTTCACGGTTAAAGGCTCGGGTTTAAAGAGGACCAGGAACACCCAGAACTGGACACAGGAACACTCAGAACTGGACACAGGAACACTCAGAACTGGACCAGGAACACTCAGAACTGGACACAGGAACACTCAGAACTGGACCAGGAACACCCAGAACTGGACCAGGAACACCCAGAACTGGACCAGGAACACTCAGAACTGGACCAGGAACACTCAGAACTGGACCAGGAACACTCAGAACTGGACCAGGAACACCCAGAACTGGACCAGGAACACTCAGAACTGGACCAGGAACACTCAGAACTGGACCAGGAACACTCAGAACTGGACCAGGAACACTCAGAACTGGACCAGGAACACTCAGAACTGGACCAGGAACACTCAGAACTGGACCAGGAACACTCAGAACTGGACACAGGATGAGCTGCGGCCGTCTCCTGGGACTCGTGTTCTGATTCTGGACTTCCCGCCGGGTCTCAGAGCTCAGAATATTTGGCTGCATTCAGATCCCGTGTTTCTAACTGGTTGTAAACACAAAGAGCAGACTCACCCTGCAGGTCCAGAACCAGAGGTTTTGGTGCTCCCTCACAGATCAGAGCCATCTGGGTCACCTGGACGTTTGGAGCTTTTGGATCTGAGACAAAAAGAAAAAGATGAGAGAAACTCCTTTAACCAGACCAAAGGTTCTGGTTCTGCAAAYGTGAACCCAAAACTTCAACATAAATGTTCTGAAGCAAGTTCTGTTTAAAGCGGGTCGGTACCGACTCATTGCCAGATTATTTTATTTGTTTTCTTCTCAAATATCTGAATAAACTGTTGTTTTATTACAATTATTAAATATTCAGTGTGCTTGTAGAGGTCTGCTAAAAGTTATTTATTATTGCTGGGTCAGAACCTCTGCAGGAGGTTGGTTCTGGACCAGCAGCTGTTCAGGGAGCAGAAACTGGGTCAGAGCTGCTGCAGCTGAGACTTAAATACATTTCAGTTTATTCTGTTACAAACTACAAACAGATTATTGGAGGTTCTGGATCCTCACGGGCTCAGAACTGGCAGCTGGGTTCGGCCTAAAATAAAACTCGACCCAACACCAAGGGTTTACACAACAGGAAAGTTCTGGAGACGCTCACCGGCCTCAGCGACCCCGGGGCCGAGCAGGGCCTCTTTGTATTTGCGTAAGCTCTCGTCGTCCTTGTCCAGCTCGTGGATCTCCTTCACCGTCTTCTGGGCCGGAGGTCTGTAGTTGACGGGTTCTGGCTCCTCGTTTTCTGCGGCGATGGCTGCGAGCTGCTCCGGAGTCACCTCATCCTCGGCCATGTCTGCAGGAGACCAAGCAGGGAGGGCAGAGGTCATAAACCAGGAACAGAACCAGGGGTCCTCCCTCACCTGACCCCAACCTGCAGACTGAACCCAGGGTTAAATCTGCTCATCCAACCTGCAGACTGAACCCAGGGTTAAATCTCTTCATCCAACCTGCAGACTGAACCCAGGGTTAAATCTGTTCATCCAACCTGCAGACTGAACCCAGGGTTAAATCTGTTCATGCAGCAGAGACACGTTTGAATCAGAAAGAGGAGATTAATTCAAACTTAACAGATTTTCTGATCCGTTTGACCTCAAACTGCTTAAAATGTCTTCACGGCTTCAGAGGACGAATCACTTAAAATAAAAATACTTCTGTTGTTTTATTGAAGTCTGAACTTAAAATCCCTCGACTGTTTTGCATAATGTAAAGAGAAAACTGAGATTTAAGCTAAAACAACAACGGTTCTGTAACCATCAGCTTCTTTAACTTTGACTGCCTCTGAATGCAGAAGTTAATGATTTCAGGGTTGTTTTTTCTCCTGATACTTTAAATACCTAAAATTAATCTAATTCCATCCTGTCCTCTGCATCCACCAAAACGTTAAAAATTTTAAAAAACTCCATCCAATTTATGAGTTCACCTAAATGATCATTAAACTGCTGCTTCACATAGACACAGCACGGATAGAAGCGCGGCGCTTCACTGTCCAGCTCATGAAGGAAACAATGGAATCAGCTCCCAACAGGAAACAGCTGCTTCAGACAGGAAGTGTTGAGGATGTTGGGCTGTAGGTGTACCAGTCCTGTTTTTAACATATTTACTGGAACATGTTTACTGTTTGTGTTTTATTGTGTTCAATTACAGCAACCTGCTGCTGACCCAAACATCTTACAGCATAAACAATAATTATAAATAATAATTTATTTGAGGTGTTAAATGATGGAACAGACTTTTAACAATAAAAGTTCAAGATTTAAACAAAAAATTATTAATAAAATCCTCATATGATTCATCATAATTAAACTTTGAAATAGATTATTATAGTAATGTTTGTATACAGTATATACAGATTTATTTATACAGATATATGAACATTAAGTGGAAACATCTGGAAACATTTTCTTTGTTTACAGCTTAAGATTTAAATATTTGCACCCCCCTTTTTAATAAAACTTTAAATTCCAGAATAAATTAATATGTACACCTTCCAACACTTTATATTAAACTGGATGCAGAATATAAATAAATATAGCTGAGCTCCAGACATCAGCTCAGATGATGAAGCTGTAAAATTACCATGATAGCAACAAGCTAACACTATCTTTCTATTAAACAAACGTAAACACAGCTTTAAATGCCAGGCCCTGCAGCAACAACACAATTCATTTTTAAATTAAACGTTGAGAATTAACATTTATTTTGTCCTTTTAGGTGCGGGTGAACTTTCCAAGGCGTGGCCCTCTTCCACAGGGTGGGACTGGAGGGGAAAGGACAGCGGATGTGGTCTCTGAACAAYGCTAACCGGGGCTAGCGGCTAACATTAGCCTGACAAGTTATCATCAGCTGACAGAGCCCGAGCGGCATCAAAGCGGACTCGGTCACCTGCGCGAAGCCGGTTCAAAGTGTAAACAGTGACACCGGGAATACGTCACCACCGACAGAACTCACCTTGTGTTAAAAAAAGCAGCGGTGATTTCAGGAGCCTCTGCAGAAAGTCCGGTCGGAGCCAGTATGGCGAACAACAGAGCGGCGCCGCCCCGTGCGCAGATGCGTTTCAGCGCATAACACTGTCCGCGCGACACAAAACTACTGGAACGCGCACGTCGCACGTAAGTCACGTAGCGCCTGTTTTCCCTTTGTTTTGGCCATCACCACACAATGTTTAGGAAAACAAATTTTACACTAAATAAAATCAAACGATGGCCGTTTCCTTTAAAAGTCGCGGAAATTGTCGAATTTAGTTATAAAAGATAACATTTCTAGATAATAATGTATAATTTCTAGTTAATAATGTAATCATTGTAACAAAATATTATATAAATGTCAACTTGCAAATTGCCCCCCCTCATTCTGTGCTCTAACCCAGTGTTTCCCAAAGTTGGGGTCAGGACCCAAGGTGGGGTCCTGAAATATCAAGGTGGGGTCCTGAAAAGATTTTCTGAATTAATGACATTTTTGCTTTAGTTGCTACAAAGGAGTGAGGTTAGTATACTTAAAATGGATAAATGTAGTATAATAAATATTGTTACTATGTCCATGTTTAGTTGACCTGATACAAATG